AATACAATGAAGTAATGAGCCAATGTTCAAGCCCTCAGGCCACACCAACACAGTATCCAATGTCGCTCCTCTCTGTCTGGCGCCCAGCGCCCAGCCTACACTACTTGCCTATTCTACTACATCCGCATTCACGCAACAGGCTGACTCCGACTTTGAAGACCAATGTACACGACGTAAACACCATAGCCGACCTCTCTCATGCACCAGGTACATATCTCATCTCCCCTCGTCAGACCCTGACCACCCACACTCGCCTCCTTCCTGAAGACCACGGATCGCCCTTACCCCCTAGCGCCCTGCAGCCCGGCCATGGCGGCTCGCGCTCCGCTGCCCAGCAGCACCCCTCTCACCTCACGCGCGCCCGCACGCGCCCTGGCCGCTAACGCAGCACGCAGCCTCTCGCGCAGCAACGCAGCAGCGTGACCGCAATGCCTGCACGGGCCAGAGTGCCCGACCCTGGCTGCCTTCTTCCCTATATGGAAGTGACAGCCTCTGTTTGGCTGCGTGTGGCCTGGCTAGGAGGCTTCCGGTAGCTTCCGGTCAGGCCCAAGTGCCTGCACCCAGGCCCAGCTATGCAGTTGAGGGCCTGGGCCCTTTACAGTTGGGTACGGCCAGTATTTCCAGACTTGGGCCGTTTGCTGCACTTGCACAGGACCCGGGGTATGTACGTACGTCGACAATGCTGCTTTTCCATAGGCCCATAGACACTTCGTGATGTACCTGCCTTGCATCGTGTGTGTGTGTGTGTGTGTGTGTGTGCCCAGGCGCAACTGCCAAGGCCTGGGCCCAACTGTATGGCACAGCACAGGGAGGCTCATGCTTCCTCTCAACCAACTGGCATGCTGCAACTGCCTGAGTTCCCACAAATGGAAAATGTAAAATTTTGGCCTCTTATGGTGAATATTCAGGGTCCCCTTTACTTAGGGCAGGCACGGGGCTTGCTGAGGGCCTCAGCCCAAAACATGCGCATGTCTGATAAGGGCCCTGCGAGGGCTCCTCCCTCGCACTTCTGGCTTTTTGCTCTAAAAGTCACAATTCAAACTTGAAATCGGCAATCGTACATGATTCTATTAGGAACAGATTTAGTACCCCAAAATCGAATGAGGGTACCCCAAATTTTGCGGTACCCCAAAAACTGGAGCATTCTATTCGCAACGATGTGGAGGCATCAGTCCCTTCCACAAAAATATTCTGGAGGGAGCGAGGACAATAGGATCATGTGAAAAGTCTGCCACCTAGGTCACCACATGACTACCTTCCTCACCAGAATACAACGTATGTAACCGTTATTAATTGGGCCAACTTTGAGTCCATCAACAACAGCAATAATGACCATAAGTTGTATTTGGGCGAAGGCGGTAGTAGACAGTTGTCGAAAAACGAGAGCATGACCATACACCCCGACTCCATACAACATTACCCCGTAAAAACAGATGAATCAAGTCCTACATCTCCCTTCAGTTCATTGAACTGCCGCAAGATTATCGTTCATAAACACTCCTGTCGGAATTCCATTGATTGAACCATGTGACACGGCAAGATTTGAAGACCAGAGAGTCACACATATGGCGTTATTACTAAAGACAGGCCCTTACTTTCACTATACACTGTATATACATATACATGTACAGTGTATACACCTCAACGAACAATCAAAAATCAAAATCAAATCAAAATTTAGAAGTATAGAAGTAGCCTGAGACTCTGTCCCTCGGTAACTTGGTGAAGTTGGTGTATAGATTATTACTCGAGCCTGGTCGGAATATAACCATGGACTCTGTCCCTCGGTAACTTCACCAAGTTACCGAGTCATACCGACCACTGAGAATATAAAGAGAGAAGACAACAGAACTTTCCATCGATCGTCGATCCATCCATCCATACATACATACATCCACCAATATCCTCCCTCGTATTCCCCAAACGCATATTATTCCACAGGAGGAATCCGTCCATTGGTCCGTCCGTCCGGCCATCCATCCATCCATCCATCCATCCATCCAGGCCCCTCATGGTCACACCACTTGTAGAACAATCCACCGCCCCATCGTCCGTCCAGCCATTCATCCGTCCATCCAGGCCCCTCATGGCCACCACTGGTAGAAGAATTCACCTCACCCCCCCCCATCCACGCTCTCTCAGACAGAAGGACGGCGACGATTAGGATGAGACGAGGAGTTCACCCACCTATATTCATTTGCACCCCCCCCTTCTGGAGGACGTATTCAGTCATCTGCCCCCTCTCCTGGAAGCAGGAATGTCATCCCTGTTCCTGAAAGGCCAAATCTGTCCATCGATCCACAACCCCCATCCAAAACACATCCACCCATCCACTACCAGTATCTCAAGAGATGAAAATCGATCATACGTTTATCGATCAATGCCCCATCCCCTGCAGCTTGCTCCGAATCTCCAGCATCGGGCGTTCAAGCAAACATCAACACATCCAAAACCTCTAGGGAGATATCTCCCTGAGCCAAGAGCGATATCAACACATTCAAAACCTTCAAGAGGGTTACTATATTGCCTTGACCACCAAGAGGGTTACATCTGCTGCTTCCCTCTAGTACTGCTAGAGCTTCAACAGCATATCTCGAGGGAAAGATATCAAAGCAGAACCACAGTCATCGCCTTGGTATATCCTTCACCATCATCATCATCCATGGTGAGCTTCGCATCCTCCTCATGGCCTCCACCAATCTCAGTGACTCATCATTGAGTGTCGTATCTACAACAACCACCTCCCTCCAGAGATCGCACTCATAACAACACTCAGTGGCTTTCAGCAGATCCATCGGCATAGGTCAAGACTTAGTGGTATAGCCATTGCCCCCTTCTTCCACCTTTCGGCACACGACACGACTTTGCTTCCATCTTCAACACTTATCGGCGTGACCGTCGTGTCAGTGAAGTCATTGCCTGCTGTGACGACTGGACGTCGTGATTGCCTGCATAGCTGTCATTCGCGGTATGGAGACAAACCGAGACGGATGCTGAGATGCGTCAATTTTCTGTCCCCATTCCACCCTCTACTCAACACATGAAACACATGAGAGTCAAAACGAAGACACTGCACCATGAGTCCAGACTACTCATCAGATCCCCAACATATGTTATGTCTGGTGCAGCGCAACACGAGTTCAGACTAATATCAGAGCAGCACCCGCTCATGTCCCGTCTGCCTGCAGTGCACCATGTCAATTCTCTTGTTTCAACCATGCCACTGCCCACTCGAAGGAAAAATTGGGTGAACGCGCGCCAAATATACTCTATAGAGTCTAAACCCTGAACCAACAGAACAACAATACCACACACACACACATGAATTCTTCCCCGCACGCTCCATAACAGCCACGAAGACGTCCATAATATCCACATGAATCCTCTCAACGATGTGTCCTCTACTTGACTGAGGAATTACAACAAGGAAGCATCTTCTGATGCCACCTCAGCTCACTGTACAGTTTATACACCTTCTCGCCAATCCCTAGCTCAACCTGAACGCATTATCCAAAAGTTCCCCTTGCCTGGAGGTTGACGATGGCTCTGCATGCAGAAGCGCATTTTGAACAGTGTATGCCTCTTCCAACATGTAGAATCTCTCTCTCTCTCTCTCTCTCTCTCTCTCTCTGTGTGTGTGTGTGTGTGTGTGTGTGTGTGTGTGTGTGTGTGTGTGTGTGTGTGTGTGTGTGTGTGTTGTGTGTGTGTGCGTCTTCCCCAACCCCATTATATGGACCATGGAGATGGAGTACAGACCTCCCCTCTCCATGGTGAACTGCCATTGATGGAATCAGAAGAATGAACAGTTGGTACTGCATCAATGGCAGTTCACCGTGGAGATGGAGTAAGGACCTCCCCTCTGCACGCATCTGAAAATGTCCACGTTGTGATTCATTACCAAACCACTATTCATTCTTCCAATTCCATCTTCACGCGCATTACCAAACCACTATTCATTCTTCCAATTCCATCTTCACACGCACCAATACATGGATATGGACCTCCCCTCTGCATGCATCTGAAAATGTCCACATAGCTAAGTCAACTCTCGAAGCTGGGCACTCAGCATGAATCGTAGCAGCGTAGGGACATGATTGTCTTTCATTCCCTCCTTTCTTCCGTATTCCAAAGTGTCGATCGCATAGAAATGACCCGGTGGCAGGCCTTTTGAATGCTGCCATCGTCCCACGCCGAAGTACATTCGGTCCTTCTCAGCTCACGACACTGCCGAGTCACACACGCTTCCAACGACGCACCCACATCTCCCAATCAATCCAAGCGTTCACCAACTTGATTTATTAGCTTAAAAAAAAAAAAAAAACAGGTCCTGGAGATAAACAAGCGCGAACTATCGCCCAAGGTCTATGTCTGAGGCTTTTCTGCCTTGACTTCCCGTTCCCCCCCCCCACACCTCTGCAGTGCTTGCCAATGGCATCTCGGCTGGCAAGGGTTACCCTGTCCACCACCACCATTTCATACTGCCCGGACTTCCCCTCCCTCCATTTGACCCAAAAATATTGTCCTCGAAAGGGGTGCGCAGCTCGCCAGTCTTTCCTCTATTTGCCAAAAGCGTATATACCCCCTTGAGAGAGGGGGTTTCGACCCCCCATCCATCGTGTACTTAACCCGTGTGGCACTGCCAGAAGGAAGTCTCGCGCTACTCGTAGGGGATGCGTTCACCGTATTTCCCAATGGTCAAGCTTCTTCATACGTATTTCTCATTCTTGCACCAGGATGCGTTCACCGTAGTTACTTCTGAATGTACCCTCATTCTCGCACTAGGATAGGATGCGTTCCTCGTAGTTAGTTCTGAATGTACCCTCGTTCTCGCACTACGTTGCATTCACCGTCGTTCTGAATGTACCCTCATTCTCGCACTGTGATGCATTCACCCTGGAGACAGAGGGTACATGATTCGGAAATGTCGCCCCAGCCACTGGGAGGAGGGTAAGGAACAGACAGACGTGATCAATCAGAGCGGCGAGGGAGCCACGGACTGCAATAAATGCCAGCATTTGTTTTCACCCAGCAAAAGACTAGAAAAAAAGAACACTACTATATATACGATCCCTGCCGGCTCGTGCATCATCAACCCCCCTCCCTAATCATGCCATGACGACATGACGACGACGCGAAGAAAGACGCGACGCGTTGAATGATAGATAACCTAACCTTCGAGGCTTCAGCGTCAAAACCCAACCCATCGAATGTCTTAATCTGGACGTGTTTGTGGAAAGGTGCAAAAAATTGTGATTGATCTACTTTTCTGCACCTCTGCGTGGAACACGTGCAGATTCAGACATTTCTTCCAATCCTCTTTGCCAGTGGGATCTGGCCCTAAGATTATTCACAGGCCGAACAAAGGAAGACCACGCTTCACAAACGAGTGCACCAGAGCCCCAGTAAATATGTATCCGTCAACCCTATCGAGTATACCCCCATGGCCAGGGATGAGCGTTCCGGAGTCCTTCACCCCTGCATCGCGCTTGATCATCGACTCCATAAGATCGCCAAACAGGCTGGCGACGAAAGTCAAGGCTGCCAGCATTGCTGCGCCTGTTAGAGAGACCGGCCAGTTGAGGAGCTTGGAGAGAAGAACGGCAACGGCAAGTGCAGATGCGAGGCCTGACATTGCACCCTCCACTGTCTTCTTTGGGCTGATTGCGCTCAGCGGGGTTCTACCAAAAGCTTTGCCTCCCACGAAGGCACCGGTGTCGGCAGCAACGACGCACGACATTGCCACCATTGTCGCAAGGAGCCCTACTGTCCAATGAGCCCTGCCTCCGAAGACGGCCGGCCATTTCCCCCCCGCCACCGCCAGATGCGTCCCAATAGCGGGGGGTACATTCAGTCCGCATCTCAGCTTGACCCAGAACGACGGCAAATACCCGCAGTAGAAAAGCCCAAATATCGCCGATGAGACCTGCGCAAATCGCGGCCGCGATGGCTGCAGCAGCAGCACGGAGACGAGAACGAACGCTGCCGTCGTCAATGCCGCACCCACACGTCCATTGTAATACAAGGTAAGCAACGGCATCGCCGAACACATCAGCGTGCACACTTTCGTCACAATCGCAGGTGGCGGCTTCATGCCCTGCGCTATGCCTTTCTCCCCGACGAGTCCGAAGTACTCCCGCGTGGCCAAGCAAGTGACGATCGAGAGTCCGCCAGTGTAAACCCACCCCCCCATCAGCAACGCTGACAGCGCCCCCGCCCCCAGCAGGCTGCCATAAATGATTCTCTTCCCCAGATTCGACCTTGCCAAAACTTCTGCGCGGAAGAAAGGGAGCGCCCCCGAGGCTGCCGCGCCTGGCGGCAACCGGAAGCCACTTGGGAATGCCATGCTGATCTCCACGCCGTCCACGGCTTCCGCCGGTGAGTCCTCTCCCACTTCTCCATCTGGACCAGGTTCATCCTCATCCTCCACATGGCTGGCGTCAGTCCCAGTGCGTGCAATACCGTTTCGGACAAATGAGTTAACTCGCTTGGTGTGCTCTCTGACCCCTTCCATTACGCTCTTAGACCCGTTTCTTTGCAGCATAACCCGTTCCGGACTCAGCCTCTGAGAACGTCGCTGGGGCGTACGACCTTTCGACAAGCAAGACGTACAGGGCCCGAAATTTATCTTTCCCCGGGCTCTGGAATGCGACGGGTTCTCTCCAAAGGACCCACATCTAGTACGTCCGCGACCGGAGGAGGACTTGTCCATGCCGCCAGTGCATGGAGGAAGGACAGCCGCCTCGCGAACGACCGCATGGTAATTGGCAATACGAGGGACATTGGAATCATGTGCGGCGGAGGGGAGGGACAACCCTCCGACGCCCTCGCGAGTGCCACACCTGTTTCCAGACAGAGGATGACGCGCCTGGTGAAGGATGGTGGCGAGCACAACCAGCAATGCAACAACAGTCTGAGAGTGATTCTCTTGTCACAACTCACTCCTTCGCCCCAGCGAACACAAAAAAAAAAAAGAGAGGTTTAAAAGAGATGAAAGCACAGAAATCGTCGGGAGTCGCTTAATAGCAAGCAAGCCCACCTTGCCCCAAACTCAACCAGAGATTTATACCATCAGTCCCCAAGAAGCCTTGCCGGGGGAGCGAGGCATTTGTCGACCAGCAGCGGTTTGTTGGATAGGAAATCCAACGGGCCTGGCAGTTTCGCGGCATTCCCGGCAGAGCTACCGTCTTCCCCCGAATAGAACGCCCGGCCATTATAGCTGTATCTGGACGGAAAAGTGCACCAAAATGACCAGGCGTTCTATTTGGATGAAGACGGTAGTCCGTAAGCAATGCCAGGCTTGCTTACAGGACTGGCGGTTTGAGAGTCAAGGGGCGTCGCCGCACGGGACACGAAACGAAAAACGAAACGAGTGCATCTTTCTGCAGAAAATGGCCAGGTTCACCGGTTTGCTATAAATAGTACCGAGTGTATTTTGCCACCTTTCGTGGGCAGATGCAGTCGTTTCGTGTGCCGTGCGGCGAGACCCAAGCAAAGACCACGTACTGCAAGGCAAGACGGAAGCTGGATGGTTCTGAGATATTATAATTTAATTTATTTATAGCACAGGAGATGCATGTTGGATATACATAGCAGCTTCCCGACTTCTCTTTTCTACGTATTTAACAGTATCCTGTGGGGCATAACTTCCCATTCCAGCTTCCAACCAAAAGCACATTTTCAAACAACATTAAATAGCAAACAGTGAGAACCCCCGCCCCCTCCCCTCTCCTCCTCCCCCCTCCCCCCCCCCATTGAAGGAAAAGCAATTGGAGAAATCTGA